TCCTCCCTCCCCCCCCCTTCTCTCCGTACATGAGATCCTATTACACTCTCAGCATAACCCTGCACCCAATCTGGCTCCCAACAGCTGACGTGGAAAAGAAGGTGTGGAAAGAAGGCCAGATTCACACACCGCCGCTTCATCCAATCCGATAAATGCACTACCACCTATCTCACCAGCAAGCGTCACAGCAGGACGGATCCGGACCATGAACCTGTCCATATACGGATCTAGGGACCTTGTGACGGAGGGACAGCGGCAAGTCCACCTAGTTCACTGAGGACGGATTCAGAAGTTCTACTTGAATCGAACCACTCATCAGCTCCCCCTAGCACCCACTCCGGTTGTTAAAAAAAAGAAAAAAAAAAAGAAAAAAACACGAGTTGGCAGACCGTGACTTTTTCATCCATGCAGCCCACACTTGGCATGGTCTTAAACCACTGCAGTACTTCCTAGAGTAGTGCCTGTTAGCGCGCCACGATTTTAGGAAACGTACGGGCTACTACAGGAGCGCCCAAATTCATCCGACTAGAAACGTTTCTACTCTTTTTTTTTTTCCTCGGCCAATAGCTGGGCCACGTACTTGTGGTTTAACGAGTCATTCCAGAATAGAATAGCACGGTCATTGTCCTTCGGGACATCCGTTAAAATTGGAACGATACAGAGAAGGGTAATTAGCAAAATGACCCCTGCGCAATCAAGGATGACACGCATAAATCGAGAAATGGTCCAAATTAAAAAAAAAAAAAAAAAAAAAAAGAATAGCACGGTCACTCAGGGGTGTGGGGCATTGCTGGGGTGAGGTCCCATTAGCAGTCCGATAGGAGTGCGGCCCATCCAGTGTGACAGTGAGTGGCAGTGGCCAGACACGTTCACTACGAATTTCTGGGCTGAGAAAACAGGAAAAAGGCCAAAAAATAAAAAAAGAAACAGAGAATCACGGCAGAGTGGTTCCCTGCCATCAGATCACAAATGATCTGATGGTGGTGGTTGCAAACTAGTGAACAAAGTAACCACCACATTTTTTTGGAATAAAATCTACTTCTGTCAGCAGTGATCCTGACACCCTCCATATACTCTGTGATTGAAGGAGGGCTCCACCCAATGAGATAATTGCACAACAACAAGTAAAATGCTGAAAAACTTCTATCCAGTGGGCTAAGGCCGACCCCAACCTCGTTTGGGGTTGGCCACACCCGCAACCGATTGAAAAGATTCTGGCGGGAAGCTTTCTTTGCACGGCCATGCCCAGTATTTAGCAAGGGAGGTTAAAATGCTGAAAATCTTCTATCCAGTGGGCTAAGGCCGACCCCAACCTCGTTTGGGGTTGG